GTTTAGGGAAACATGCACTTTTTGTTTTGGACACCTTTCTTACCTTTAGTCCTGCAGCAGGTGCACTTGGCACACTTTAGTGATGGGCTCCAGAAACCGTCCACTCTCCAAAAGAAAAGAAAAAATAAAATTCCCCACTTGTTGCTGAGTCAACCAAGCCCCCCACAAATGCAACTTCAACAGCAGCTTTTTTACGCATTTAAAGCCACAAAATTTCTGGATCGCTTTCCATCGTGCGTCTGCGCCACGTCGCTGAACGCACTCGAGGTGGAGGTTGGTGGTTGTCAGACTTTACTGCAGGTTCTCCAACGCGTACAAAGTGGATATTTGCATTAGGCCGACCCTCCCCTCGCCTTTCATAGCTGCCATTGTTTGTCTCGGTCGGGGCTCGGATTCAGTCCTTCTCTAAATCCCTGACGGACGGAGCAGGGAGCGCAGCTTTCTCTAAACCCGGCCTGGCAATTAACAAGCGCCACAAAGAAACTATTATACCGGCAGTTTTTTTTTCTCCTTTCTTTCTTTTTTTTTTTTTATCCATTATGCATTAAATAACTGCTAGTTTTAAAGCAGAAGTGTAGCATAGCTGAGGATTGTGTTGCAGCAGAGCACGTTGCTGGGTTTTACCGTAATGACAGGTCTGCATGTGCTGCAGCTGATGGAAATACCTGAAATAGCTGCATATGAAAGACAAGAGGATTTAGGCATTCCCACTCAGTGACATCAGATAGCACAGGCTTGCCTTAATGATGTGTATTCAAACCTCAAGCAGTTTTTTGTTTTGAAAATACAACCACTTAGTCAGTGGTGGAAGAAGTTTGCAGAATTTTACCTTCACTGAAATTTTAAAACACGTAAATGCCAAATGTTGATTTAAGCTGAATTTATATCCCACCAAAAAGGATTCTCCTGACTGGAAATGACAAACACTTGACAAAAGATGGTACCAATTTCTGTTTATTTTCTTGTACAAATGTATTCAAATTTTGGGGAACATGCAACTTCTACAGCATTCCAAATGGTCCTTGTGATTTCTACCATCTTCTGCAGGATTCCAACACACTATGAACTGAGAACAGATGAAACAATAGTTCTATAGTCAGTTACTAGTCAACAGAAAGTCATGGTTAAAACCAAAAAGCTCAGTGAGCTGCTGTTAGAGTCCATTACCAAACAAAAGCTCCTGCTCAAAAGATGTTTAAAGGCTATAAAGTTGTATCCAAGTGTTTCCAAAGTTCCACACTGAAACATGTCAGAGGGCTGCAGGAGGACAGACGTGAGCCCTGCGCTGGAAGAATGGTGGTGGCCAAGAAGAACCCAAGGATCAGCACCAAGAGCATCCTGATGAATGTGAGCAGTTCTGGTAGCAACATGTCAATCAGACACTCCAGCAGACCAACAACAAGGCTGGTCTCCATGGAGACCAAGGAGGATCCACTTCTCCAAGAGAGACGCACTAAAGCTCAGCTGGACAAAGAAGGAAGCTTTTGGTCATTAGTGGTCAGATGAGATGAAATTAGATTTGTTTGGACACATGGACGTGGCTTTGGTTTGGCGAAAAGCAGTCAGACATGGTGGTGGGACGTGATGCTTTGGGGTGTTTTTCAGGCAACCTTGTAAACATGAGAAAAGAGAACAACATTGAGATTGTGCAGGAAAACATCAGACAATCTGCCAAAAAAAAAACACAGGCTCCTTGGGCAGCATTGGAGCTTCCAACAAGACAATGATGTGAAACATGCAGCAAAAGTGGAAGAGATGGTGAAGAGGAAACAATGAGGAGATGTTGGAGCGGCCCAGCCAGAGTCCAGACCTGAATCCATCCAGAGTCCAGACCTGAATCCATCCAGAACCTGTGGAGGAGCTGAAGAGCAGAGTGATGGAGAGGAAGCCTTCAAGCTCAAAATCAGATTGGAAAATAAAGTCTCTGATATGAATTAGTGAGAAAAGGTATGAATCATTCCAAGTATCTCAAATTCATCATGAAGAGGTCTGGCACAATGCCTTACCAGCACTTCTTTAGGTCATTTCCATCCAGAAGAAACCTGTTGATCAAATAAGAATTCCCAAAAATCAAAACTGGGTATGGATCATTTTGGGCTGTGTTGTATTTTAAAACCTTATTTTATTATCCGTTGTGTAACAAAAGTTGTCGAGTAAATGAAAGGGCAATATTTCCCTCTGAAATGTAGAAGCATAAAATAAAAGTAGTACCATGACATTGTGCTTACCAACAGTGCTTGAGCAAATGCACTTCATTACTTTTCATCACTGCATTTAGTTGAGCTCCAAACATCATTCTTGTCCTTGTAAATAGCAGTCTCCTCATCACAGGGACACTTTGTAGATGTTTCAGAGTTTTCTTTTCCTGATGAAGACAGTCTGCTGCAACCAAAAGCTCCAGAACAGCTGCTCAACGGACCTCCAGGTGAGGTTCTTTAGTCGATTATTAACCAGATTCACCTGCTGTCGGGTTGAAGAGAGGCAGCAGGTTTTTGTGTTTTCCTGATGGAGCAAATAGTTTGTATTTACACGCAGCTTAGACGCTGTGTTCATTTATCCAGAGCAGATTTGTGCACTTTTACACTGAAAACTCTGTCATGTTTATATTCCCTCCATGATTCCAGCAGGTGTTTTTATGGAGAAGACATAAAATGAGTCAGTGTTTATCTACGGGTATTTGAATAATTCTGTTTTGAGGAAGTTCAGCAGTATAAATAATCTGGTACCTGTTCTGTTTCCAACTTCTTTAAATGCAGCTCCAATAAATCAGCTGTTCAACAACCTCCTGTCATTGTTTGTGACTAATCACTGCCACCTAGTGGTTGACTGAGATTGATCAAAACCAGACCTGAGAGCAGCTTTAAGGCCTCAGAGTCACAGTAACGTAACTGACGTGTGACAGAAGTCGACTGTTTATCAGCCTGTCCGGTCACTGGATCTGATATTCATCATTTTTCTGATTAAAATAACTTTGTTTTAACTGATCCCCAATCAATACAATCTAAAAATGTGTTCCTTTGGCTCTGATGCAGCACCTCTCTTCTTCTATAGTCACTGCTCTTTATTAGGAGCATCATGTCTCTGAGTGATGCTGAGGAACTAGTCCATGCATTTATTGCATTGAGGCCAGACTATAGTAATTTCCTATTATCAGCATGTCCCAATGACTTTCTGAAAAACCCCAGCTGATTTAAAATGCTGCAGCCAGAGTTCAAACAGGAACAAGAGGGATCATATTTCTCCCATATTAGTTTATAGTTAGTTGCCCTGACCCATCCTTCAGTTATGCTGCTCTAGACATATATCACTAATTTTGTGTTTTCTCCCCACTGAACTTCTCTGCGCTTGTTGTTCTCCTCTGCATTGTTTATCTCTGTTACTTCTCTCCGTCACCCTCAGATGTCTGCCCTCCCTCAGCCATTTTTCTTGTTAAAAGCCACGATCACCAAAGAGGTCGATATTTGGATTTGGAGGATTTTTCTCTAACACATAGAACTGTACGATGCCCTGAGATGACTCATGTTGTGAATTGGTGCTATATAAATAAAACTGAACTGAACAGCTCTGTGATCTGAAGCGGTTTCCCATCTGCTGCACCATCTGATTGGTTAGTAGTTTTAAATGAACGGATTTAAAACAAAAAGTGTTTTAATTTTGTGTTGGAGTTTGTGTTATTCTAAATTTTGACAGTATTTTCCCTTTTGCTGCAAATATTGATTCCAAATGTTGGCTATCAGTCTCCTTGATTGCCAATAATTGTATTAGAAGTGAAAAAAAAAACATGGATCAGAAGAACATCTGTTCGGTAATATGTGCCATTAAAGCACAATATCCAATGAAAAACAGGAACGTTGGGCCTTGGAAGAGCCCAATCTGTGTCACAATCTGATTTTCTTATTTCAGTTTGGATTGTTCTTGCATAGTTGGTAAAGACATTTGCTTTTTAATTATTAAACTACCACAAACTAACTTTGACATTTCAGCTGTAGCCACCATCAGAGCTGTAGCTAACAATTATTTTCAGTGTTGAACAATCTGTCAATTATTTTTTTTAATTAGTCAATTCGTTTATCATCTATAAAAGGTGGAAAATTGTGAATTCGAACGCAAAGATATTCAACTTGCTTACTTTACCGCAAAATATTCACATTTAAGAAGCTTTTATTTCCCGTAAAATAGTATTTTAACTAAGTAATGTATTATAAAAATATCTGGAAATTAATGTAATCTATATACTGCTTAATCCTCACTAGGGTC